TTAAATTTCATTTAACTATTTGAATTTCACATGAAAGACTATATTATTCATCAGTTATATTTAAATAAAATTTAAAAATATATACGAAATATCAATGACTGTAATAAAATTTAAATAAAAGTTTATGAAAATAAAAATACTTTTGTTTGTATAAAAGAATAAAATATCCTTAAGTAAATACTTTCTGTTCACTCCAGCATTCATATTTTTTCTTTTAATCTCCGCTTTTCTATTTATTGCTCAAAATGTATAATAATGTTTGTTTATAAAACAATAGAAGCCAGCATAAAATTGCAGAATGTTATTAATGTTAATGTTGTTACTGATGATACTGATGTTACTAATGTTATTACTGATGATATGATTAGCTGAAGTTGCAAACGTTAGAGACAAGATATCTTCGGCCTATCTTTCAATTGAATCTTCACCGAAAAGATAAATGAGGAAAATTTTCCTGATAGGATAAGCATTAGAAAATGTGTACAAAGAAATTCTGATTGCCTTATCAGTGTCAAATAAAAGATACAGTTGCAAGTTAATATAATCAATTTAGGTTTGTAAGCATTTTTTTCTATTTATTTCCATTTTCAGATTATTCAGTTGTTTATTATTAATTCAATGCTTTTCTTTTATCAGTAATTTTTAACACTTTAATTAAATAGTTGAATTGTTCTTAGTTACTCATTTGTCACAATGGGTCTTTTCATTTTATTGAAATTATTTTTAATATTTGTTTATCAGAACAAAAGTGAAGTTATTATATTTTAACATCTTATTACATTTTAAGGCTTTTTTAAATAACATGAAAGTAAAGTAACAGCCATAGCAAGAAAACAATTACCGATGAAACTAAAATGGGATAGTGTAATATAGCATTAATGTTTTTCCCCGACATTTTAAAATACGGACTAATTGATCAGATAAAGCAATAAGTCTAACGCTAACTTCACTCTCGACGATGCTTTATAATCAACTGTTACTACTCATGTATTCATTATATATACGTCTCAGGCACATTTTGAATGCATCGGAAATTCTACTGATGGGAGGTGTATATTGGCAATTGTATATTGGCTAGAAGAATGAAAAATCTTAATGTTAAGCTTTATTAAATAAGTCCAACTTCCTAATCTTAGACAGTTTGGTCATTTTTTTTCTTTCTTTTGATATTGGATTGTGAATTTAATCAACATTTCACTCTTCCTTAATTCTCAACAATATTTGATATTCCAAATAGAATATCATAAAGGTAATCCTAATTTTTCTTCCAATTTCTTAAAAACAAAATGTTGAAGAGATGGTAGAAGACTTTGGCTTAATATATGTTTACTAAATGTCTTTTTAATATAATTGTGTTTAAGTCTACAAACAATTGCAATATTAATAATTAATTTTTCAATTATCAGCAAATATTACTGTCTTAAATTTGTCTCAATGCCTAAATGTAAATTGATTTTATAATTATGAATTGCAATGCAAACATGCAAACAACATAATATGCCAAGAATCTTTAACTGTCCCATCTTTAACATCGAACGATGCATTTTATTCTCTGAGACAATTTTACTTATTAAGCCACTGTGATAAATGTTCGCTTCTTCAAGCCGTATTTTCGTCTTTGAACACAAAAAGTATTCATAAATAGCATTCATAAAATCTCCTATATATAGCATTCATGACGGCATTGTGCTTAAGACATGGATAAGCTGTCTTAATTTAGCTTTAAAAATGAGACCATTTTGACATTTTAAATTTCCCTATCAGCTTCTATGTGTATCTTTTTTCTTCATCAATTTAAAAATTATTCCATCAATCAGAAATATATCCATTCTAAATTTTTATTTTTTGATTTTTAGAATTTCTTTTTCATTTCAAATACACTTTACAGCTGAACAGTTAATTTTTCTTATTTTAGCTCGTAGAAATAATCTGCCTTTATTCGATACAATTCAGCTGCACGTTTACCGTATCTACTTTTTAATGCTAAATATTTCTTTGACCTTAAAATCGTTTTCATGTACAAATCTTATAATCCAGATCATTAGTTTCACGTACTCATCTTGAGCAGAAAATAATTCATCATACCTTAAATAGGAAGCTTCTGAATAATTTATGCAATGTTTTCGTTAAAACTATAAGAAGTGCTATAAAGTTTTATAAGAGGCTATAAAGTTTTGAAATGCAATAAATAAACTGTTTATTCAAGAGCAGCTTTAAATAAGGGTTTCAGAAAGAACAAGTGCTCTAAGCTTTTGTTAATGATTCATGCAGATCTTTGTGTTTTTGATTCAAACAATATAATGGATGATATTTGGAATGTATACTAGATAGCTGACTCTAATACTTGCTGCAAAAGAGCAGAACAATTTAAAAATTTTCCTTAATCATCGCACTTTTTAATTACTGACGTTAGACGGTATGATACTAGAGTTATACCATGAGTCATGTGCATCGTCTGTCAACATTTTTGCTTTACATGGCTTATTACATTCCTCAGTATTATTCGCTGAAAATCTGAAGTTTTCCAGTCGTATACAAAAGATAATAATGAAAAAAATAAGTATTCGAAGTAACATCTGTTGAGCGAGTACAATTTGTTAACTGGATGTAAATATTTTATTAATCAATCCTGAATGACTCGGATAAAGAGTAGCATTTTAAAATAATTAACCGATTGTCATAATCAAAATATTTTTCCTAAGCCTGAGCAAATGTGATAACTACTCATTACGTACATTTATTTCATCCTATATATGTATCCCTTTCCATTCACCTTTTGAAGTTTTTTTATTCATAAAACTTTTTACGGGTTAGAATTCAGAAATACCGGATTATGCAAGAGAGCATATTTTTGGTTACACTCATATTTTTGTTTTTACCAATGTGTTCACTTATATATTCAACTTATTTTTATTAAATGGTTCTTAAGGCCTCTGAAGTGGAAATTAACACAGAAAAACAAATTATGTTTCATTCGTAAGTGTGTCATACATGAATAATATTTTGCATTTATTTTAAATACGCCTGGTTTTTCTCTTTTACACTTTTGTCCGCTTACATCAAAGACTTCATTTTATTAGCCATTCTGTACCATAAAATTTCAGTTCATTTCAATCGTTTACGCCAGAAATAAGGCAATTGTTTGAGTTACAGTGTGATATGACACAATCTACCGAATTTACTGAATTCACTATAAAGAATCAATTTTCAGAGAACGAAAGGCAAGTTTTAGTCTGCTTGCATTAATTACTTTATTTTACTAAAAGGAAACAGAAATAACATAATCTTTCCTTATTGCGAAAAAAAGCGAAGATAAGTTTAAGTTCTTTCAGCGAAGAATACTTTTGCTTGTCACCATCTTCTCAATATCTTCTTGTTTATCGAAATTGTCCAATAAATGTAACAATTTAGGAAAACATTTGATCTGAATAATTTAACATATACATTCTTAAAATTAGAGAAAGAGTGAAAGAGGAGAAAAATGATCGAATTATCTTACTGTTATTGTATTGAAAATATCTTAATGTGACTATTCAGTGAAACTTCAACGCGAAATGTGAAAGACGAATTATTATTCTTTTTCTTTGGTAGGAAATGTGAAGGATGATGAGATGCTGAGAAAATGAAATTATTAAGTAGTTGAATTTGAATAATCAGTTCAGAATATTTTACATTTTTAAGAAAATCGACGCTTTTTAAAATTATCCAAGCTGAGAAATTTTACTTCAGTTTTCTTCTAGAGAAAGCCTAACTGTTTAGATAAACGATAACTATTTCTGTACCGTTCGTATGAACAGAAAAATAAGAACACATTAAGAAATTAAACCACGTATTAAATACATTGGACAGAAAACAAGAAAAATTACCGATTTGCATATTGAAAAATCTTTGTAAATTACACAGTGAATGAGATATGATATAGAGATTAAATAATAATGGAAATAAAATTTTAGGCCTTGGAAACGACGTCGAGATGATATTATTGTTGTTACAATATGGCTGATAATGCTTACTTACGCACTTGTTTCCAATATTCTCATTCTCATTGGTATTGCACGGAATAATTCTATGCGATGCTCAACGAGGTACTTTTTGGTGTTATTGCTATCCTTACCTATTGCTTTTACAGTTATTTTGCTACCACCATTAAACTTGATTGATGTCGATTTTGGATTACTTTATAAAATATTCATTTTCAAGGCTCCTTCTTAGATGATAAGCTGGCATGAATTGAAGCGTCTCAAATTCTTCCTCAATTCATTTTTATTAATCCAGAATGAAAAGTTTATTCTAATGTTGAATGATAAAGAAGCCATATATTTGCAAACTCATCAATGAACATTATCACAATTATTCAATCATCTAATGCAGCACGTCTTCTGCATGTTAACAACATAATGAGCTGCTGAATGGATGAATTAGCCTCTGACCGTAACTGCGAATTCATTCCGCATTTCTATTATAAATTATCTGTATAACGAAGCATCTCAATACTAGACAGTCACGAAAAAAGCATGCTTTCTATAATAAAAGAGACTAAAGAGACAGTGATGAGAAACTGCAAGTCGTAGATGGATAAGTACTATTTACCCTTTCTACTCGTTAAGTTTGTATACCATATCACTAATTTCGTGAGCAATTTATACCATATAATTCTAGTAAGCAATAAAGCCTCTAAAAAATTTCAGATCCATTAAAAATCATATTTTTCAGTGACTTTAAATAATCGGACTCTGTCAATTGCACGCAGTCTAGCTATACTTTGTCATTAAAATAAGAGAACCCGAGTCTAGGCCATGGAAATTTGCACTTTCGAAACGTGTTTACAGGAGAAAATTTAGTTTTTAATGTTTGAACTCGAGAGATTTCCCAAATTATTACTGCAAATATGAAGCAAATATGAAGTAATATTCCAATTTATTTTTTAAAATAATATTCACCTTATTTATTGCTTGTATTAATATTATATTTATAATCTATCTTCACGATATCCTCACGATATGTCTTATCGTGCGAAAGAGAAGAAACCAATCGCTTCAACTGAATTTGTGATGGAGTTTGATCCCAGCCCCCTTATGAAGTCATAACGAAGCATCGCCAACGAAAAAAGGCTATGCAAAAATTTGATTAAAAGGTGATATACGAAGAAATGAAGCGACAAATGACGTTTTTACACTGCACTATGCAGAACAATGTAAATGATTATATCATCATAGACAAAAATTCGATTGAAAGAAAAGTCTCTTCTGAAGAATAGCGAAAGGAATGCTGCAGAAAAATGAATGATGACTTCAAAAGTATGTGCTTCAAAAGTATGTACAGCAATAAAAATATGGAAGCACTAAGAAGGAAATGCCGATCATCAATAACCGATTGAAGCACCACAGAAACACTGAAGATGCTGTAAACCTCTAAAAATTTATTTACAATCTAATTCACTTCTCACATCGATATTTCAATCTTGACCTTTTGCACTGCTAATAGCTTATGAGTGAAAGATTGGATGAGAAAACATTTCCAGTGAAGTTCATCTCTTGTTCTCTTCTAAACTATTTCTAAATTTTTTGAGAGTCATTGAAAAGAGGGAATTGATGAAAAGCTGGAGACAATTTGTTTTTAATTGAAATCTCTCTTATAAGTAATATACACTATGCCATGTTTTCCATAGAAGAAGATATAGAGAAGAAATTTGAAGTCTATCTTATAACTATTCAAGTTTAGAGCGATTTAGAAAGTAATGAGTAATCAAAACAGTCGAAATTTACATTATTTAAATTTCTATCAAGTTAAATTCAGAAACTATAGTCTAAAATCTGAAAAATCAAGAATAGCGACAATCATTCAAATCATCTTAAGTAACATATAGAAAAAATTTTTCGGTTTAGAAAGTGTTGTTTTTCAGAACATGAGAGATTTCAATATTTAATAAAATTGAAAGTGTTATTTTGATAACAACAACCGTTTTTTTCTCTTTTTTGAAAGGAAAGGTTAGTAGTCAGCTTTTTTCATAATTTCTAAAAAACTTCTATCAATATATTTGTGTGATTATTATCGTATAAATTTCAGCTACTGGTTTATAACTTCATTGGCTACCTGCGATATAATAATGGTAGTAATCAGTTTAGCGCATCTTGTGCCTGCGACGGCTTTTCATAGTGCCTTCTTAGATTTTCATTCGGTTCGCAATATAGTTATGATATTCTTCTACGATCTTTTTTGGTATACAGCGGTTTTACAGTTAGGACTTATGGCATGTAACAGGTTTGTCATTTTTGCAAATAATTTTTGAAATTTTTTCTAAAATTCAAATTCGTTGAGAAACAAATTATGGATTGCTTAGCTAATATGTTTTCTATGGATGCATATATATATATATTTTAACTGAACAAATCTCGGTTATAACGCTTATTTATCGAGAAATAAGTTCAACTTTCATAGTCAGTATTTCCAAGCTGAGTAATTAGACATGAAAATACCTCTATTACTCTTATATCTGGATAAATTCTCATGTTTGTTATTTTGAAAATAGCAAATAGGATTTCCATTTTTCTATAAGAATAAGTTGCAGATTTGTAAGCATAGTTTATCCAATGGAATATAAATGGCTATTTTCACCACGAAAAGCATTTCTTGCAATATTATTTGGTTATGCATTAGGCTTCGCTGTATCCTTACCAACACTATTCCCATGTTGTCATACATTGTGGAACTCCGATTACTACATCACTGTCTACGATCCTATGAATACCTGGTATTATCTTCTATTTTCTTTGCTCATTTCATCACGAAGCGGAGTTTCAATGTTGTTTGTTTGGTATCGCGTACTGTTAGAACTGGAATTGAATACAGTTAAATCATAAGAATGTTACTGCATATTAAATCGTAAAGTTAGACGGTGATATGTGGCAGATACGCGCAATTTAAAAAAAAAAAGAGTTTGAATATTATTACATTGTAATATGAATGAATGACCGACCAATGGATATAAGAAATATTTGTAATACTCGTTAACGGTATAAACGGTAGAAAAATGAATATCAATAAGTATTGTTTATAACTGCAGGCGCGGTTGTCCCTTCTTATCATTTACATGATGGATATGAAGAGAAATTAAGAAGTTCTGACATAGTATAAAGATGTATCACTGATAAAGTTAAAGTAAAGAATAAGAGATAATAGTATATGATAATAATGAAGGATAAGTGTGGGCGAAAGCTGCAAATTATAAGGATGGAAAAGAGAAAAAGTAGTTACCCTGAAAATTGAACAATTTAGAAAGCACTTGCTGCACCTAAATGAGTTATTTTCAAACAGTCGTCTTCCCTGAGATAATAGTTTTTTTCAGAAAATGAATGCTTAAATAAATAACTAATGAAAAATGAGAGAGAACTAAATTAATAAAATGGAATAAGTATGACGATTTCTTGGTGCCAGCTTGACATTTGTATTCTTTTTTATAAACGACGAGAAGCAATAAAATGGATGTTGCTCAGCAGAAAATTAATTAAAAAAGAATCGAGGCCCATACTATATTATTACTATTGCTATTTAAAGTAAATTTAACTGACGATCTTTTACTTTGATTTTTGTTTTTGCATTTGATTTTGATATATCATTATGATTTATCATATTTTAATTTTTTACGAAAGTATAATAATTGGAGGAAATGAAGGAACAAGCTGATGATAGGTAGATAAAAAGCAATTGAAGAATAATAAGTATATACTTCAACGATTACCACAACAATTGAAATATGAAATAGGAAAGCATCGTATTAAATAAAGAATTAATTGGACCGATTAATTAAAAGATATTGAATTGAATAATAGAATAGAGCAAATAAGAATAATACATTAATTTTTTACAGATCTATAAACATTTATTTAAAACTAATTAATATCACACATTTGTACATTAGTATCACTTAGAAAAGAATGAGAAATTTTAGGTGTAACTAAATGGCTATAATAACAAACGATTGCGATTAGTTTCTTTTTTGAACTTTTTTACTTTTTAGCTGAAAACTATTTCATCAAAATAATCGTAACTTAAAATATTTGATATTATATTAGTTGCGTTTTGTGATTTGCAAAATGATAGAGAACGATGTTTTTCTAAATAGTGCAAAAATCAGTAAGTAAGAAAAACTATTTATTTTCATAATATATTTTGCAGATATGACATTGTCAATCACACGGATTTGTTACTTTAATAGGACGTTGTTTTTAAAATTTGATAATATTGTAAATGAAATATACTAAACTTCAAATTTCATTCTATTTTAATACGCTACAATATACATTCTAGTGCAGTGAGGCCTTTCATTTTTATTCACAGTTATGGAGACAGTTTACCGTTTAAAGAAAAAGTAAAGTTTATTCAAGTAGGTCATTTGCAGTGTTAGCAATCTAAAGCTTAGAAACTAAAGTGATAGGGGAATCTGAATTTGTACTAATAGGAAAATATTTGACAATGTCGTGCGACTGAATGGACTTTAAAAAGTAACATACATTAATTTGATATACCTGTTTTCCGATTTTCTGTGAATTCAAACATGTATCATTTTTAGGTATAAATATATTGATGTGGGTGTCAACAGTCTGTCTTTAATAGTCATGATTATTTCTTACGCAATAATTATCTATAAAGTGCGGGAAAGTAGCCAGGCAATAGCGAAACATCAGTTAATGGTGCATATTTATTAATTATTTAATCTAATTTTTTCTTAATTGCAATTGAAATGCATTTGATTGCAAATCCACCAGGAAACCGGAATAAATTTTTTCACGTTATTTGACTTTAAAATTTCCAGCAAACATTATTTAATAATTTTAGTACTTTTAACAGCTGCATACCCTGCAAGACAGAGTCTATGGAAGAAAATTTTGGAATGCTTTAAAAATTTTGAATTTCGAATTCAAATTTTTGTGGAGATTGCTGCCAGCTTATCTTCCTTTTGTTTGCAGAAAAAAGACAGTCGTTCAGAAAATGATGATTCATGCATGAGATGGAACAGTTTTAGGACAACACGTAGACAAATCAGTAAAAAAGAGCTGAGACTATTTATACAAGTGAGTAAATTAAATTTTTGTTTTGTTTTGAATTTGATATTGCTGGCTACTTTGTTAAATCATCATTATTTTTGGATTTTGCATGAAGCCATTTTGACTTCAAATTTTGATAAAAGTTTTAGTTTTTTCTGGTTTCTTTGGTTTTTCTATTAACTTGGACAACATGGCAATGGCTTCCTCAAATATCCGATTCAAAATGGGCTTATTTTATTATGACTTCGTTGTTTTTCATAAATAACTCCATCAATCCAACAGTATATTTACTCTTCAATACTCAGGTGTTTCCTTCTTAAGCTCTTTTCTCATGCTAAATATATTGAAGATTAAGAATGAATTATATTTAAAAATGAATCGTTAAAACTGGTAATCAAATTTTACTGTAGACTATGAATATTTTATTTCCATGCTTTATTAATATCTTACTTGCAGTTACGGAATGAAATAAGTCGTTTGTTATGTAATTCAAGTTCGAAAACAATTCCACTAAGGCATCGTAGACGTATGTTAACGTCCAATAAATTGTTCAAATATATGGCGAAAAACCAATTGACAGGAAACAGTGGTAGTAGCAGTCAACATGATGGGCATTACGAAGCTTCAACAACACAGAGTGGACATGATTTATCAAAAGTCAAAACATTCGTCGCTGCTGATACAAATAAAGTTGCAACAAATTCAGGGGTAGCTTCAATGACCATGACAATGACAACTGTCACAGTGGATAATAATGACGTAACCAACATAGCGATAACAGCACCATGGAAAAAACCGCATCAACAGTTGCTTGTTGATAATAATATCATTATTGATGAAAGTGGCATTTTAATTGTTTAGTTTGTCAATTACATTGTATTTATTCAAGCGCTAAAACATATAGTTTATAAGTTTGGCTTGTCAGTGCATTCTGTTTTGTTAAGGTATCGAAAGAGAAATGCGGTATACACCTCATTTACATTATGTAAAATTTTCCATTCAGTTTTTTATTACTCTGCAATTGCTTCTCAGAACGAGTTCTAGAATGATATAGTACGTCCCACATGTCGACAGAAATAGGTTCCAAATAATAGTCATATTATTAAAAGATGAAAATTCGCTTTATTCTCTTAAATACATCAAAATAAAATATTTAGAAAAATGCTTGACACTATTTGCATGTAATCTTTATATATGTGCTTCTCTTAGTACACTATCATTTTGTCTTAAAAGGAATTTGTTAGAGAAACATAAGCCATTAACAAAGTTGGAATCTGACAGTACCATTTATACTTGATTTTTAACCGAAAACTTAAATCCATTTATTCGATTAGTCTGACAGTATTTTGATAAATAATATGCATAGAAATAATAAAAAGTAATGAAACAAACGCTAGAAACTATTCACTGATTATTATTTAGTAATCTTCTAAAATAAATTAAATCAACGATATCAAAAAGAGTACTGTTTAAAGAAAAGGGAACTTAAAAAGGTGTAGGAAATTTCGGGAACTCTTGCAAATGAAATCAAATATTAGTCAGCTAATGTTATCAAAAAAAACCAATACATTCTATATTTCAGAAGAAAAGTTATTTTACAACAAAATTTCATAAGCCTATGAAAGATATCGAATAAAAAGCAATGTAATAAACGAAGAATACAAATTCTTCCAAACTAGGATTGATCGAATCGATAATAAGAAATGAAGACTGTTATGCTGATGAAAATATTTGAGAAATTTGATAAAACTTAAATTGAGTGCCAAAAAAATTTTTCGATAAATCTTCAATTCACATATTACATTCCATTAAAAATATTCTATTTGTATACAGTTAAAAAATTAATACACTGGAAACAAGTTAGATTAAACACATCAAGATTTACAAAACATACAAATAAAATTAAAATGCTACGACCGAAATAAAAAGCCATTAACAGTGTACAGCAGTACGCGTTACATTTTGCTACTTTAATATTCTTCTATATTGCTCTGTGAATCTACAACACGTTTCTTGCATAATACCAAATTCAAAAAATAATATCCTCTCCAAATCTGATTTATTCGCCACAATCGGCTTAGTTACAGGTGAAACTGATAGATATAAATAAAATACGGAACAAATTTCAAACCTAAATCAAACAGAAATTAAATGGCTTCTGATTCCGAAAGATCAAAAATGGAGTCCAATTTGTGCCGGCTTGATTTATTTCCCGAAATGTCTTTTTCTTCTGAACCATTTCAACACTTCCTGTCCACATGCAATAGAAAATTTAGATCAAACAATTTACAGCGGAAATCCTTTATTTACACTTTGATCCTATAGAAAAGTTCACAGATATAAAGCTTGTCTCCATAAGAAGTAAAATCCACTATTTTGAATTTCTGTCCATTATATAATCTTAGAGAAGAATCATGTAATTCTATTTAAAGTATTACAAACAAGACTCTGTAAGCAACATGCCTGATTACTGAATTTTACTGATTTGATCTAACTATTTCATCCCAAAATCTTGTCTTTGTCAGAGTAAATTTGTTAATATGAGAGCTGATGGTATGAGAAAAATTTGAGAGAATGCATGAGTAATATGAAATGCAAAACGAATTACATGACAGGTTAGATGGCAATCGGTTCAGCACTGCCATAGTTATCGTTGGTGATTCTGTAGCATACTTCGAATGCTTGCCCCAGTGTTATTATTATTTCAGTTGCTACATCCTATAAAAAAGCTATCTAGAGAACCACATGATTTCACATAGTAAATGAAATACTGACTTCTTTATATATAACATCTCTAAATTTTAGTTTTTGATTAAAAATGAGTAAATTTTGAGACCAAGATATTTCAAACACAAAAAACATGTTCCACTAAAGCTCTGCATGGGATCAAAAACTATCACAACTTACAGCAGTCAAGACGCAAAATACATGACAGAAATGGCGATTTCCGTCTTGCGATATATAAGCGAAACAATTCAGATCTCTTTCATCTTGACAAACTATCTGTATCTGTGCTATTTCGTGCTCGACAGTAAGTTGCTGAAAGCGTAGTCACTTATGGAAATATCATTTTGAACTAAGTTATCAGTTTCCCGTTTTAAAGGAGTTATTTGATAAATCCATAAATAAACGATCAATAACCTTTGTAGTAGCATCCAGTACTCGAACACCCGATACTGATATTTCCAGTAAAACATGAGGAACCTTGGCTATTTCGCGAATACCTCTCTAAAAAAAAAAAACATACTTTATTAAAATGGGAAAACTTCTGTTTTACACTCAAGAAAATACATTACATGAGTAACTGCTAATAGAGTATCTTACTTTCAACTTGATCATAGCTCTTCGAGAATCCTCTGTCTCTTCAACATTTGATATTTCCATCGACCCAAGATAATGAGCTGAATACGAGATACAACTCTCAATAAGTGTATTTGATGAATGCTGCCATTCAGTTTGACGTCCTCCAACAATCACCGAATGCGGTATTTGGGTACTTGATGATGACTGCACCGTACTCCTAGAATTCCACAACTAGATTCATTGAATTGTTTTTTATAAAATTCATCATGTTTTTTGCAAAATGAAGGAAATATGGTTCTATAAATTTTTTTTCTCAGAAAGCTACAAAAATCGAAATAAACCACCTGCTCTCCTGTCCACTGTCTGCTTCTTCTTCCTGCGCTGCCGCTGCTCGTTCTGCTGCTCTTTGACGTCGCTCTTCCTTTGCTTTCTTCAAAGAATTTAAAATTCGTTTTTGATGACCAAGTTTCGAGATACCAAGAATCTGAAAATAAAGTGTATTACTACAGAGGCAAAGCGAAACATAAATTTGAATGAGCAAGCTACTTACTTTCAGATGTTTCCGCGTTGAATCGACCGCAAAAACGATCAGCATCGACGTCAATCCTCCACTTACAAAATGACCGAGATAATCTTCCAATTCCAGTGAATGCAACCAATCCGAAACATATGTAAATGAATCTGAAGAAAATTTAAGTAATTAGAATTAACAAACTCAAGAACTATCATTTCTTCGAGGATAAACTTAGCGATGAGTGATTCCAAAAATTTTAACTAACTTGCACTTGGGATGGAAACATTCGGATAATTTTCTAGATACATTCCGATTTGGTGTTGTATTGATTTGTCAAACCCGATTTCTTGCATCGAAGCGCGATCGAGTGTTGATTGCTGCAAATAACAATAGTCCATGCAAGTCGCGGAATACAAACCATCTAGGAAATTTTTGGTTTCAAAAACGAGTTTTTTAAATACAACCTTATTTTCCAGAAGCAAGAACACATACCATGTGGTCGATACTGTCAAAGCCGTTGCTTTCGAGAATTTCGGCTATTTCATTTGCTCTGGGATTGGGTATTCCAACACATACATTTAGCCATTCAGCAACAGCATTTACCCCTCGCTGCAAAAAAAGTGCCGTTTAAATAGCAAGAGTCACACTGAGGTATGCACTTCTTAAAAACTTAAGGTTTAATTTATTGCAAATCTTAAAGAGAAGCTATTTCGTAAGAGAAAAGCCTGGAGAAGCCTATGTTGTTTCATAAAAGATAAAGCAGTAAAACATCGCCTTTAATCTCATACTCATGGATTGAATTGAATTGCCTAACCGTCATACTTCAAAGCACTACTACAATTTCAGCTGATTCTTAAGAAATGGAATCCCGGGACCGGATTTTATCAGTTACTTATATGTTAACTTTTTTCAGCACTGACCGGTTGTTCACATCTTTTGTCAGCATCAAACCCAGATGACTGTCTGTTTTGCACTGCCTGTGGCCCATTTAGTTGCAAAGTTAATGCTTGAGATCTCCGGTCTCTGAGGTAAACGGCCACTTTTGGTTCATAATGAGCTGCAAACACCGATTCCCGACAAATTGCGCCACCAAATGACTCCATTATTTCACTGATCTAATAATATATTTTTTTACAAGATCATAACTAACCGCTTTTGTTGTTTTCTCACTAATTTTATGGAAATCCACATATTAAAAGATGAAACTTTACTGCGACAGTTGAAATTATAACTGAAAAATCTACCTTTTTCCATTCGATACTTTCATCTAGAGAACTACGCCGAGTTGAAACCTGTATACTACTGTTCACTTCGTCTTTATGTTGCTCGCTATCACTCGAGATCGATAATCCACATATCTCTATAAAAAAAAAGGCTAAGTATAAGGAAGGGAAGCAAACCTGTTTTTGATGTCTGCATTCATGAAGATGCATGTCCACCTCTTCATGCAATTTTGCAAGAGCACAATTTTTAGACATAAACGCTTACCCCTACTTATGCTACCATGCGCTGGAATAGAAGACGCAGTTCGTAAGCGTACCTCCACAGAAGAAAGTGACTGATCATCCGTGCTGGAATGGTTTTAATTACAATTGCATGAATTTTTACCTCGATTTTAGTAGTAAAAAAAATTCCTTAAAAATGAAATTTCACCTGGATTGCTTATAAAGCTGACTAAGTTCCTGCGACGGAGAAATTACCGATGGCGATGTCAAAGAGACATGAGAGATTATTGGCAGGGAACATGAAGACGCTAATGTGCAGTTTGATCCCACTGAAATTCAGATTTATTTTGCTCGGGTAAATGAATGGAAATTACCGACATGATAGACTTCATTAAAAAGCATAGAAACCTGTTGATGACAGTGATACTGTGTCCTTTTGCGTATGCTGTGACCTTCTGCTTACAGTAGGAGATTGCGACAACCGCTGCTTAAAGCTATCCTAAAATTGGAAGTGTTTTTCACTTGAAAATATTAAACCATACAAATTCATACAGAACAAGTTTCGTTACAAGAATATTTCAAACCTGACTGCAAAGGAAATGATGTATGCGAGATTCGGTGGTTTCAGGACTTGGAAGATGATCAAGCTTAGACCTGACATTATCAGTTACCTCCTTTTCATTTTCTGCTGTTATGATTTCCACACAACTCGCCAATGCAGTCTAAAGTGACTTCGCGTTAGCGCAAAAAATTATAATGCAAATCATGGGATACATATACGGTACTCATTAAACAATTACCCTTACTGAAGAACTTGAATTAAGAGCGGCCGTTACAGAACTACGATGAGGTACAGAATACTCGTCATTCAAAATGCGTGAATGCCTTCTCCGTTTACTCTAAAAGGAAATTTTTTAATCTTGACCGAATTTTTTACAATTGTTATTACCCTTGGAAAAGTTGAATAGCAGTAGACCATAAAAAAATTTTCCAATGTTTCCACTCGCTCTCAACTAAAACTGAAACTTGGTTTAGGTGTCACAGTCGATGAGGCATGATCTTGCAAATATTAAGTTTTAAATGCATATAGCTGTATTCTTAGGCTTACCTCTTCCATAGGATACCTTTCCGGAGAATTTTGTATTGATAGAATGCTGGCTGAAGCTGACATAGAAACCTCTTCAGGGAGTGCTAATGGTGCCCGGCCTTGAGTTAAAGAAGCTGTACCAGATGGAACGCTGCTGCTTTGTTCTTCAGGAGATAATGCTAAAAATTGTATGGAATGGCTTATCGCCAAATAAGACCTGAATATAGAATTCTCGATTATTAGAAGAATCAATAAACTAGTCCAGTCCCATTCCGACTAACTATAACTTTAAAAATGAAAAGCTACCCTTAGACCGCAGAGAAAACATACAACGTTCAAGAGTTGAGTAAGCGAAGGTAATGATGGATGCTGGGCTTTCCGTTCGATGTGAAGAAGAGCTTGGTGGGCTATACTTAACAACAAGACCACTGTTCTTATTTGTACTAGCTTCATGCGATTTGGTCTTCCGAGGAACTGGTTCGGGCTTCAATGTTTTCTCTAACAGCGGTAAACGTTGACGGCTGGATTTTACTAAAAATAAATGAATGAATTCAGATTCTAATATACTTCAAGTCTGGTTCATAGTAAACTAAAAAACATGAACTTTTAAAGCTAATTACATATCTAATAGTGATGTTACTAAATGTGTGTTTTCTTACCAGGCATGGTTTGTGTACCATCACTTCTAATATTACAAGATGGTGTGCCAAAACTTTCACAGTTAGTCTCATGTATAGGTTTCGTTTCGCAGATATGCTGCCAACGTCGATGGCCTGAAAACAGATTTTTGTATCAGTCTTTAAACGCACTACTAAATCAGTAAAGGACGCATTTTTGCTTCCTAAAGAAAAATCATTGGTACAGTGTGAAGAAGGTATGAAAAACTGTTACATATGTCAGTTAAATTTGTTGCTCTGATAAATTTGTAAAGTATGAGAAAAAATCTAAGTCAATAAAAACTTACCAGGTGGTGGAGCATTATCGTAAACAACAAGATTGCGTGGCACGTTGTCATAGGTCAGAAGAGTGTGTGGTGGACTTATCACATTGTTATATGGACCAGCATGCTGAGACGGCCAAGCATCGTACGACAATGGAGCTTGATATGAACACGCTATTGCTGAATCTGGAATAAAACAATTTTTTTGAAAAATTACAAAAGCAAAAGAAAAATCCTGCTCAAGCAGAATAAGAAAAGCGCAGATAAGATGCTCAGATCTTCCACTAAAACTGATCAGCTGATAGAACTACATTTACACCCAATTTTCCACACAATTTTAGTATAAAATTTATCCCTTCCTGTGCGATAAAAACTTGCCATTTCTTATCCAAAACACTTTTTTATGTTATAGTTTTCTAATTACTAACGACGAAATGGCTTTTGTACCTGAATTAAGTGATGTTCGACCAACTCCCATCCTCGGTAAAGGAATTCCATTTCTCTGAAGTGTTGTATGTCGATACCTATGACTCGGCACTACGATAGCAAACCGAGATATGCTATTTCTTGCATTAAAACCTTTAGCTTGATCTGGTGATTGCTGTGAACTGAAATACACTAGTGCAAAATAAGGACTAACAAGTATATAAGTATCTCGTAATGCGAATTATGGGAGAACAAACAAACAATCCGAATAAAAATATTTTAAGCTTTACACAGATTCGCTCTCTGATGACTCCACTCGAGTGGCTGACAAAGGTAGAGTTGAAATATCATTCAGATCGTGTTCATCGTTAGCTAATGTAACCACATCAGCCTGGAAAGTGGTTACAAAACTTTAAATTTTTGAATAAGTGTAAAAAGTTTTAGAATTGTTATTATAAAAATAAATACCACTATCGATGACGGTGCACAATAAGTGCCAACGTCCGAATTGATATCAGTTCCATAAGTTGAACTGCGCTGCGTGTGATTTCGAGATGCTTGAAGCCTGGCTGAAGCAGAGAAATATATTTCCTGGAAAAAGACCATGGTTTTCGGAAAAATTACTTGCTATTTCCATTTTACTTCTAAACATCTCCAAGTACCTGTGGATAATTCCGGTATCGGTTTCCAGACATCTTTCGGGTTAGCACCATACTTCAAATGGAAAGGTAAATTCAAATAAACCGAATGATTCTCTGCACTGACTTTGTCACTTTCATCCTTATACTTTTGTATGTAAGCTGTAAAATACCAGCAGTCGATACATGTTAAAATTGAAAAGTCTCAGGGAACCACCTAGATAACATAGAACCAAAAAGAACCTTCAATGAGCTTGCGGCATTCTGACCACCCTTCTCGGCTCTGTATCACCTGTGTAAGATCAGAAGCTCTTTCGCTTTCATGTTCTGCTAAAGTCTCTAATACAGTACGCCCTTGTCCATCACGGATATCAACACTGATACCTATAACCTTGGAACATCCAGAAAAATTGTAAAGTAAGTAAATGTATTAACCATTATTGGAACTATAATGCGCAAAAAAACACTAAAAAAAATCAAAATTCTTCACATCCAGAAACTTCCAAGCAAAAAAAGCAGAGAATAATCCGATTAACCTTGTTCAAGTAGTAACTTAACAGCTTCAACTTTTCCAAACAATGCTGCGACATGTAATGCGCTACCTTCTTCGGTAACATAGTCAAGATTGAAACCGGAATGACATAGTATTTGTAGGCAGTCAATGTGACCATGACGAGCAGCTGCATGTAATGGATACACCACTTGAGCTAAATGTCTTGACCTTCCTGGATCTGTGGTAATACACTCTGATGCACTCTAAATTTAGTTCATTAAAACAATGCTAAACATGTCAGTCAACTCAAATTATGATAATATTTCCGAACCTAACCTGCAATGCTAATTCTGGACAATTGCAAATGAGTAAGCGACACACGTTAGCTTTCCCAAGTCGTGCAGCCACATCTAAAGCCGTTTCAGCACGTGCATTCCTCATCCTGGCATCTGCATGTTTCTGCAAGGCATCTTTATGATACGGGATTTTATTCCACCTAGTTTTTAACAAGCAATAGTTTTGGTTACTGTCCTGCAATTCTATTCCAGATCAATGAACTTCAAATTAAAACATACAGCAAGCAAAACAATGACAATTTTCCCGTGACCATGTTGTGCGGAAAGATGCAAAGGCGATTCTTTAGCATTGTTCACTGCATCAATTGTATTTGGTTCAGCATTAATTAAAGTCTGGAATATATGTAATGCGAGAAGTTAGTATTTAAATTTTATGAGACTAAAATAGATTCAAAATTCCGAAGTTTGCTTTTCCATTAATGATGATTACCTGCAAAATCTCAACATGTCCATTCCATGCTGCCAAGTGTATTGGCAAACATCCTCGTCGATCTTTTATTCGTGCCATTTGTGAATCAACATTTAGCAAAATTTTGACTACCTCGAAAAAATTAAATTTGCAAAAGACATGATTGTAATGAATTAAAATAAAGCCTTAGATAAAGAAGTTAGGAAACGGATCAGTTGTACCTCCTTATGGCCCAGTAAAGCGGCAAGATGCAGTACTGTATAACCGTTCGATGGATCTACAATCGAACATAGCCATGCTGAATGTGATGAAGTCGATGCACGCAAAAAGCTGTAACATTTTGGAAGAATTATTAGTGTGTTTAAAACTCTTTACATCGGAATCTTTTCTTTACACTGTACTTCATTCCATTTCATTAAATCGGTAACGAGATTCGCAATTGAATTACAAACTCTCCACTAAATTTAGCATTTGAAAATCTGTTTTAAAATATTCGAAAAAGAAAACAAAGGGTGAAAATTCACTTCAGTGGTGTCCGTGGTCGCTTGTTGCGTCTGCTTAATAGCCATATTTGCACCTTCTGCGCATCTCCCCGTCTTACCGCTTCAAAAAGTTCCTGTAAACAGTATCCCAATAGAAATAATAACACACATATAAACTGCAACATTGTGCGTCTCTTCTATATTTGAATATCGGGACGGATTACATGTGTATATAGCACTAAAAATGAAACTGCAGAGTATTTCCAAGTTCTCGTTAATAAAAAATCAGTTCATCTGTTGCATGCTGTTTTTTTTATTTATATTTTCTTTCATGAAAAAGGAACTTACTTGCTGAACAGAGTTAAGTTCTTTTGGTCCCATTGCTGCATGACGATAGCACCCGGCAACTGTCGAAAAAAAATATTTTTATGATTTATCCGGCACAAAATCTACGTCATCGTTTGTGATAATGTTGCCATTCCTAAAATTATGAAGTATAAAAGACAAAAAACTCACGAGGATTTCACATATATCTACTAGTTTTAATTTACATAAGCAAATATTTACATTTGGCTGCAAAACATACTAATCTCATTAATCCATCAACGGTTAATTCTGTCAATAAATCACAAGCACACATTTGGCATGCATGAAATTTAGTTTAGTCACTAAAATTTTCATCATTTCTCTTACATATCTTGTAGAAGTGTAATGTATTAAATTGCCTTATAAACAAATTCAAAAAGAGTGAAAAATTAGATTTAAAAAAAGCATAAAGTTTTTTTAGAACTCTCACTAGTCTTTTTTTCGCCCTCATAACTTAAAATATTAATATCAACAAACAAAAGAAGTTAAAAAAAAAGAATAGGAATTAACGATATTACAATAAGATTGTGACGAAATGCGTAATTACCGAATCTCACCGAAAGACTTTATCGAATGATTAGATGAAAAATTCTTTAAATACTGCTAAAAATCACTCAACAAAAAATAATACAATTGTGTGTAGAATTTCGCTCGATAAAATATATATTTCCGTCATTTCAATTATTCAATAGTTTGAAATGGTCTTGAGAAAAAGACACTTTCGCCTGGCCTCCCTAAGAAAGAAAGGATGGATATAGTGTAGACAGATCGGGAAAGAGATTATTTCAACCTCAACGTGAAAAGAAATGCGTCGAATTCTATGAAATAAATGCAAAATGCGGTTAGAAATTTTTTCACTATAGCTGGGAATAAATTTTAATTGTTATGCTAATGAATACTTCCTCGTTTACATACTAGAAACAGTGACGCAAATATTGGAAACGTATAGAGGCCAAAATTTGTATAAAACACATCTTCGAAAACCCAAACGAAGTGATAATGAATTGTGGATTTTGGATGTACTAAAGATCAGGCGAAGTTGTCCTACGTCTACTTTATGAATAACGAAATGGACCAACTTGTCAGGTGCTAAATTTTCGTTACATTCAGTTAAATTCAGTTCGTTCAATTATCTTCCTCTGGCAAAAGTATATTCGGTGAGTTGTTAACTGCTCGATTGTATGGTATTATTACACAACTTTAAGCTTCATAACTTACATAAATTAGTCTCCGAGCTTCCACACTTACACTATAATTACCATTCAACTTATAAATCAGTTAACCGTTTAGCTTAAAAACTGGAGCTCCATTGGTACGTAATATAACAACTAAACATCTCACACTTCTAATCAAAATTTGTTACAAAACTGCTCGAAAACGGAAACAATACTGATCGATTGGGAAAGGTTGTCCGGTGGCAGCTGTCTGTGTGTATATGTCTATAAGTGTATGTGTGTGTGTGTGTATGTGTGTGTGTGTATGTGTGTGTGTGTGTGTGTGTGTGTGTGTATCTGTCTGCCTATTCCCGTTTGGTTGTATTGTGCTGATAGTAAGATCATTTAACTTGAAAAGACGATGTGGTGGCTGACTGACGATGACATTGAAAGGAGCGTTGTTGTGGTATGTAAATGTTAAGTTATTAGGATAAGCACATGTAATTACAATTGATAGAAGACGAAATGATGATGTTCACGCCTTGTGGTTTAATTATAATTATTTGAAATCTCAGTAATTTCGCAAGTGTTAAAAATTACAAAGGATCAGAATATGATAAGCAATTTCTATGGGCTCATCGTTCACATGGAGAAAGAATTGAAATAGGATTTGATAAAAAGATAAGCAGAAGTAACAAACTGGAGAGCCGGACGTAACTCCCGTCGAAGAGTACAAATGGTTCGGAATAGCTGCATGAAAAGACGAACTTCCTCTACACACTCATTTATACGACATATTTTCTTTGTTTTTTCTCTTCATTAGAAAGCTAAGACAGCAGCTATAGTATTTTTTTCACTGGCTTTTATAAATTTGGCAAATGTAGATTTCACGGAAAACATAATATTACTTTCGCTGACCATCCGATAAACAACGACGATTTCACTTTTATAAATTGCCCTTGATGAGAGAGTGGTGCAGAATCCAACAAAATATGTAACTTAGACTAAGAGAATAAAAGCAAACTATTAACTTACTGTTGCTGATCTGTCAAAAACTGTTAACAATTAATATAAAGACTAAATTTAAAGCAGTGAGTAAGGAAGGCTGAGGTTTCATTAAAATGCAGTTCAAAATTGACAAAATATTTAGCGCAAATAACATCGAATGAAAGTCACAATTGAAGAATAGCAAATCCGTAGAATTTTTTCTACACAACTACTCCAAGGCTACGAACATATTTCATGTCATTATGCTGCGTCCGCTTTTCGTAAATAATCGCAAATGGTGCTATTTATAGTTTTACTGTATGGAGATGGTATGAAAAGAATGCATTCAAAAAACGAAACAAAAAAAATGGGAAAAAGTTGATAAATGTATAACCTAAATGATGCTTGTTAAAAATGAAGGAATAAAACGAAGCTTAAGAGCATGGAAATGTCAAATGCAATTGAAATTTGAATTATGCTAAAACTTAACTATCAACAAAATTCATAGCAAAGGGCTGAGAATTGATGAATAAGAAGTGAAAACAAAGTTATACTAAAAAAAACTTCCTCTTAGGCAATATTGAAAATTTGCAATCAACAGCTATGTGCAGTCTTATTATTAAGAAAAAAAGCCAAGAATGTCAATCATTTTTGCTAAATTTTAAAGCAGTACTGTGACTTTCGACAAAACAAACGTATATAACTTTGATGAGATCAAATAAACCACTAATTTTACTTTAATAAGGTAATGTTTACCGTGAATGTGATAGAAAGAAAAAAAGAATAGAAAATAATAGTTTATATTTTCTCTGTAGGCACCGCTAATAAACATTTTATTTTGTTTTAATATTCTTTACAGCAAAGAATATTTTTAAAATTTTTTATTATTCTTTTCTGAAAATCAAAACATAAGAAAATAAATATTCAGATAAAATCAATATCCTAAAAATGGTCAATATTTTATGAACTATTTTTAGATTGTATGATTAAATGCTTGGAATAATTTCTCAAAAAAATGAAAACCAATCAACTAAGAATACGATACGAAGAATTGAATTTGAAACTTTCAGCAAAACACATTTACTTATGCATTTAGTTTGAAGAATGGATAAAATGGAATCATTCCATAATTAAAATCCCTATGCCACTTAAGAATTCTAAACTTCCTCTTTCAAATAAATATTCTATAGAAAATGAGAGCATATAAACAACTTCAAACAGCTATTAACAATTGCCAATAGATACTGGTAAAAAAGAAGGAAAGATATCATACATAATAATATCAGGTCCTTTTATTAGTTGAAATTTGAGCATTTTTGTCACTTCTTCGGCATTATTCTTTTCACCTCTTTATGATAATAGCGTGTGCCTTTTAGAGTAACTTATCATTCACCCTTCAGAAAAAACTTTTTGTTATTATTCTTTTCTATTTAATAAGCAAGCTTAAACTTATTGATTTCATCGCCCAACGGGACTTGGCATACTACTCCAAAAAATCCTTAATTCAAATAAAATGTTTAGTGAATCATTAAGCTTCATAACGCACTCAGGTACCATAAAAGATTGATAGATTTGATGAAGTAGATTGAAGATATAATTTACAGGAAAGTCTAAAAGCTAAACTAATGGGTTTCACTGATCGTTATCTGGTTTTGTCATTATTTTTTATCAGGCGCAACATTAGGTTATAAAGAGTTCGAATTATATTCTTTATATTAAAAAACTTCGTCCGAAATTTCAGTAGTAACAATCATCTTGCACTCGCCAACCTGAACGAGTAGATGAACAAATTGTTAAACAAAAACTTCGATAATTAAGACAGCATGATAATATGAAAGTTGTTGAAAATAGCAACTACGTTTAAAGCAAATTAGTTAACAAGAAGAAAAAGAGCGGTTGATGCCACTTCCATAAATTATGCAGTGGTAGGAAAAGATTCGTCAGATATCGGAGATGTAATGCTCATTCAGCCGTTACTGCTACTGCCAGTTCGTTTTATCCCAGAGCTTGCCTGCTCTCTAATAATAGCTTCTATCGATAGGAGAAAGAAAGCTTAATGCTAGTTTACGACCTGAATGCGTATTCGTAAAAAATGCCAGCTTGTATCGAAGAAAGTCTGATGGGGTAAGATCCCATTGAACGAAATAATAAGACCGAGATCGCGGAATGAAGGAAGGAATTCTTTTCCTTCCTTCTATTGAGGAACAATGCTACATACCACTTATTTTTAATGGTTAAACTGGTTGAACCCATGAAAAGTACGACAAGTGCACTCTAAAAATTCGAAGTCATACCTAAGACTTATAATTATTATCCCCTTCCTTTTCAAAAAAAAAAAAAAATATTATTGCCAGTCTGAGGTGTTTGTTATTCGTTGTTGGTTCAATTCCCTAGTCGATATTTCAAATCGATTTTTCAATTTATAGCCAATTCATCTATTTAAAAAAAACAAAAAACAGATTTTTTTTTGCTATTCCAAATGTTTTCCCTCGAATATACACACAATGGTTGAAACGAAAATATCTTTGAGCGTAAAAAAACAGTATTAGGGAAAGTTTAAATTTAAATTAAATTCATTTAAAAAAATATTTTAAATAAAAAATAATGCGGTGGAAAATATTTTACAAATTATTTTTTAAATCATAGACAAACAAATTAAATCTAAGATATGATTAATATATAGAAAAATTTGTTTTAGCCGAGGAAAAATGCTTTTGAAAGATTTTTTCAGCCGGATTTTAGGCTTTCATTGTAGTAAGCTAAACGGTATAGAAATTAATCTATTTTTAAGCTAAACAAAGTATTTGAAGTAGTTACATCAACTGACAATGATCATAGGAAAACGAAATTCAGGTTTTAATCCTGACAGAATAA